CACTTTCAGCAAGCAAGGTTGTATCATCTGCATATCTCAGGTTGTTAATGAGTCTTCCTCCAATCCTGATGCCACGATTTTCTTCATAAAACCCAGCTTCTCGGATTATTTGCTCAGCATACAGGTTGAATAAGTATGGTGAAAGAACACAACCTTGTATTCCAGTACTACTATATAAAACCATACAGTTGCCTTTAAAGCATTGTACCTGAGGGTGATTTGTCTTAGACAAATAACTTTAAACTACCCCCACTTGAGTCAGTTTTTAATAGGCTCTTACGCTCTGGTGTAAGTCTCGTAGAGTCATTTTTGACTCAGTGACTCACAGTGACCCTGTAAGGGGTTTCCAAGAAGCAGTCATGATAGAAGCTAAATATCAAAATTAGTAAGCTATAGCAGACGTTTTAGAAAAAGGAACTTTTTTTGAGCGCGAGGAAGAGGAAATATTTCCCAGCTCATTCTAGAAAGCTCGTGCAACGATGCCAACCTAGGGAAGAACAGCTTAAAAAAACAAAAATTGCAGGGTGTTTTCCCTAATGAGCATGAAAAATCTTCAACAAAATAGTAACAGACTGCAGCCAGCATTGAACAATAGCAGCAGAGAATCATAACTAAGATAGAGTTATCTTTTGGCAAATTCCACTTTTCATTGCTGTTATAACTGACTCTGTAGTGAACATTCTTACGGTTGTTAGCTGACCCACTCAGAGTTGTCATATGTTGTCTGTCATTTAGCACATTTGTTGACCGTTATGCAAATCCAATTATTCTGTTTTGTTCCCTTTCTGTGTTTCTTCCTGGGATACCAATTACACCAATTACTTCTCTTGCTGTTCCACAGGAGCTCTGGTAGCGTAGCGGTTATGAATCGGGCTGCAAACTGCAAGGTCAGCAGTTCAAAACTACCAGCTGCTCCATGGGAGAAAGAAGAGGCTTTCTGCTCCCGTAAAGATTTACAGCCTCGGAAACCCTGTTCAGGGTCACTATGGGTCGGAACCGACTTGATGGCACTTAACAACAACAACTTGCTGTCCCACAGCTCTTGGATACTTGTTTTTTGAAACTTCTCCCCCACTTCTTTTGTCTTTGTCTTCAGTTGGATTCTTTGTGTTGAGTTCTCCCAAGTTTTAAATTATTTTTACAGCTGTTGTCTGTTGAACCTTTCCAAAAGACCCAAACCCGTTTGTCAAGTCGATTCTAACTCATAGCAACCCTGTAGGGACTCCACATCTTTTTCCCCAGCTAAGTGGATGGTGGGTTTGAACCACTGACCTTTCAGTTACATAAGCACTGCGTCCCAGGGCTGTCAAAGACGTATGTTATTTATAACTAGAATTTCCATTTGATTCGTTCTTACAGCTCCCCTTTCTCTGCTAAACGTATCCATGTGTTCTTGCATGGTGACTACCTTTTCGGTTTGGACTTTCAACGTATTAATCAGGGTTTCTTTTAAAAGCTTTGCATCTTGTTCCTAGGCACCACACCAATCCGGTGGGCACTGAATGGCGGTGGAAGATGGACCAGCCTGATATGATCTTACAAGAAGCCATAGAAAACCATCAGAACATGATTAAGCAGTTTAAAGGTATTTCTCTTCTCTCTACAAAGAAATGTAACCACCAGAATGCGCCTAGGTCTTGGGCAGAATTTTCTCACCACTGGCAAATTTTTAGATGGGGTATTTCAAATTTGTGGAAATACTGTATACGAGACTTTTGCCCTTGTTTAGTTTTTACTGTTAACTTTTCCCATGTTGTTGTTGTTAGGTGCTGAGTCTATTCCAACGCTTCCAGATCCTATGGGCAGCAGAGTGAAACACTGTTCTGGTCTGTGCTTGCCTCACAATTGTTATGTTTGATCCCTTTGTTGCTGCCATTGTGCCAATCCGTGTCATTGATGCTCTTCCTCTTTTTCATGGCCCTCTATTTTACTAAGCCAGAGCTTGCCAACTTATAATGTGGTCCGCTCTAGCGTGACACAGTGCACTCAACCTGGGGAACGTCTTATCATCCTTTCTGTAAACTTTTTGGGTTGCTCTGACTTGATGGGGACAAACCAGCCTTATCAATAGAGTGAATGTTTTAGGGTGTTAGAAAAATACTCATCACATCACTGTTTTTTTTTTTAACTAACAGAAATTTGTTTTCTCACAGTTTAGGGGCTAGAAGTCTGAATTCAGAGCACCCAGTCTCAGAGAAGGATTTCTCTGTCTGTCTGCTCTGAAGGAAGGTCCTTGTCTTGTCACCATCTGATTCCTGTTCCTTGGAGATCACCCTGTGTCTTGGCTTCTCTCTTCCCACCTTGCTTGTTTGATCTCTTTCATATCTCAAAAGAGATTGACTACAAGGCACACCCTACACTAAGTCTGGCTCATTAACACAACAAAG